TTGACCTTGACACCTTTGCGAGTGGGTGTGCTGGTCCCATCCTTGGCTTTTTGCTAAGTGACGTCTGCCAATAGCTCGCACCCCAATGTCTGCTCCAGGTTGCCTACATGCTTCCTTTTTGGCACCCCTCATTCTTATCCATTTTAAATGAAGAACGTGATCATTTTCGTGTTGTCAGAGGTCTCTTCTCCAGAACTGAGGTAAGAGTCTGCAAGGGGCAAATTTGCTTTTATGATTATCATTTTAAAAGTTTATTTATTAGCCATCTTCATAAAATATACTTTTGCTGGGCACAACATCCGAGGTTGCCCATGATCGCCGAGTACATACATGCTGTTATTCTGCTCTAACAAGCCTGTGGTGTGACAGGAAGGAAGCCGCCAGCCTCACTGCTGTGCCCCTGAAGGCTCTGTCCTTCCACTATGCTTGCTCCTGAGATCTCTGACTCTGGCATTCTGCAATTTCACTACGGTGGTTCCAGGTATATAATTCTTGTGTGTATCCTGCTTGGAATTTGCTGGGCCCTGAAGACAATAGTCTAAGTCACAGCCTATGAGCCACGCCTTCCAAGATGGCATCCAACAATGCCTACCTCCTAGCATTCATGCTGCCATGGAGTCCTCTCCTGCATTCAACAAGGATGAATGAACTGCCTCAGCCCACAGTAACCAAAGGGCATTGCAGACATGGACTGTGCCTTCCAAGACAAAGTCACAAGAGCCATCACAGTTTTTTTTGGTTTTCTGTTTTGATTTGGAGTCTCACTCTATCACCCGGGTTGGAGTGCAGTGGTACGCTCACAGCCATCGCAGCCTCGACCTGCTGGGCTCAGGCGATCCTTCCATCTTAGCTTTCCAAGTAGCTGGAACCACAGGCGTACGCCACCATGCCTGGCTAATTTTTTTTATTTATTGTAGAGACGAGGTCTCACCAAGTTGCCCAGGCTGGTTTCGAACCCATGGGGGCTCAGGCAATCCTCTCACCTCCGCCTCCCAAAGTGCTGGGATTACAGGCGTGAGCCACTGTGCCCAGCCTCATCACAGCTTCTACGCACTCTCTCCAATCCCTGACTCTGGGGGAGCCAGCCTCACACAGGTAGGATGCTTGAGTTGCTCTGCAGACCTGCATGGTGAGGAGCTGTGGCCTCCAGCTGGTGTCTAGCAGACTCACCAGCCATGTGAGCCAGCCTCCACCCAGCTTTCAGATTCCTGTAGCTCTGACTGCCATCTTGACTACAACCTCCCAAGACCCCAAACAAAGCCCCCAGCTGAGCAGCTGCCAAATTCCTGGCCTATAGAAACTATAGAGATAAAAATATTTCTGTCTTCAGCTGCTTTGCTCTGGGAAAACTTGTTATGCAGCAATACAAACTAATACATTGCCAGAAATACTATGTACATTTAGAATAAAAATTTCAAGTTCAAGAAAAGTCTGTTTTTTAAAAAAGAGCTTGTACTGAATTATTCTGGGAAGTTTGTCAGGTTTAAACCATTAAATCTGCCCATCCAATAATATAGTATGCTTTTCTATGAGGTGTTCTACGTGTTATCCAACAACATTTTATAGTGTTCTTCATGTAGGTATTGCACAAGAACAGATTTATCACTGAGGATTCTTTTTCCATTCCATTTTCTGATTGGTTGTTTTTAGTGTATTGACAAACTACTGGCTAGGCATGGTAGCTCACGCCTATAATCCCAGCACTTTGGAAGGTCAAGGTGAGAGGACTGCCTCAGCCCACGGGTTCGAGACCAGCCAGGTCAACTTGGCAAGACCTCAGCTCGACAATAAATCAAAAAGTTAGCTGGATGTGATGGTGAGTGCCTGTAGTTCTACTTACTTGAAAGGCTGAGGAGGAATGATCGCCTGAGCCCAGCAGGTCGAGGCTGCAATGGCCATGAGTGTGCCACTGCACTCTAGCCGGAGTGACAGAGGAGACTCTGACTAAAAAAAAAAAAAAAAAAAAAGGAAAGAGAAAAACTACCAAGGCTGGGTGCAGTGACTCATGCCCATAACCTCAACATTTTGGGAGGCTGAGGTAGGAAGACTGCTGAAACCTAGGAGGTTGAGACCAGCCTAGGCAACGTAGCAAGACCTTACCAAAAATAAATAAATAAATAAAAACATTAGCTGGTCATGGTGATATGCACCTGTAGTCCCACCTACTCAGGAGGCTGAGATGACAGGACCACTGAGCAGAGGAGGTCAAGGCTGCAGTAAGCTGTGATAGTGCCACTGCACTCCAGCCTGGGTGAGAGTAACCCTTATTTAAAACAAAAAACAAACAAAAAAACTAAGTTGTGAATGGTAACCATATATCCAAACTTCCTCTTTTATCTGTGCTACTTTAAAATTGGATTTTCTCATTAAACAATATATTAGCTGCAAATAGTGATTGTTTTATCTTTCAGGTATTTATACCATGTTTCAATGTTTTTAAGCCAGTGGAATTCAGCAGGGGAGCTGTATACCAGCTTTAGTGACACTAGCATTGGTAAGTGCTGATAACCTGCTGCCCTTGGACCAGCCTCTCTCAACTTCCTGCACAGGCTCCAATTTCCAGAAGACTGTTCAATGTCATGGTGTCTGCCTCTTGCATCTGACAGACTCTCCGGTGGTATTCAATGCAGGCTCTTGAGAGCTCTCCTATCAGGTTATGGAAATGCTCACTCTTGCTGTCTTATCCAGAGTCTGTACGTTATGATACTTCTTTTGCTTTTAAGGAGAAACACTACAATCTATTGACATTACTTTTCAACATCTATTGAGATAATCATGGTTTTCCACCTGCTGTTAATGAATTTTATGAATAGATTTCCAAATTCCTTTGCTTTTGGGTTACAATTTTATCTTATTCACATATAGCTTCAGCCGGGCTCGGTGGCTCAGCCTGTAATCCCGCGCCTTTGGGAGGCTGAGGTGAGTGGATTGCCTGAGCCCGCAGGTTCGAGACCCGCCTGGGCAGCAAGACCTCATCCCTACAATAAATTAAAAAAAAACAGCCGGGCGTGGTAGCGCATGCCTGTAATTCCGGCTACTTGGAAGGCTGAGGCGGAAGGATCGCCGGAGCCCAGCAGGTGGAGGCTGCGATGGCCGGGAGCGGCCGCTGCATTCCAGTATGGGCAACAGAGACTACAACTCAAAAAAAAAAAAAAAAAAAAAAAAACACATATAGCTTCATTTACTCCCATATCCACTGACCATTGAGTACAGGCTAGGTCCTGTTCTGAGTGCTGGGACAGTTGTAACCAGGGACGAGCCCCACTCCCCTGGCAGGCTGGGGAGTTCTGTTTTACAGGTGCTGCTGGGTTTGGTTTACTATTGACTCAAGATTTTTCTTTTTTTTTTTTCAGCTGCAGTCTCACTCTGTCACCCAGTCTGGAGGGCAGCGGCACGCCTCTCGGCCACCACAGCGTCAACCTGCTGGGCTCTGGCAATCCTTCCACCTCAGTCTTTCAAGTAGCTGGAACTAGAGGCGTGCGCTACCACACCCAGTTAAGTTTTTTGTAGAGACAAGGTCTTGTCAAGTTGCCCGGGCTGGTCTCGAACCCATGGGCTCAGACAATCCACTCGCCTTGGCCTCCCAAAGTGTTGGGATTACAGGCTGAGCCACTGGGCCCGGCCAAGGATTTTTCAATCTACATCCAGAAGGGCACAATGTCTTCTTGTGGCTCCTACCTCTCCCTTCCCCACCCTCTGGCACTGGCATTGGGTGACACCAGTCCTGTACCAGAGTGGCTCTGGGAGGGTTAAACCTCACCAGTGGAGATGACTGACTGCCTGTTGAGGAGTGTCCACCTGTAAACTCGTCTGGGCACTCGTATTTTCTAGGGAAGATTCCCTGTCCCCAAGCCAGAAGCCTGTAAATCAGCAGAAATGCATATGCCCTCAGCCTTCCCACCTCAGGCACGAATCTCTCTCCTCTACTGCCCATCATCCTTCAGTCCCTCTCCTGCCTCCTCACTGGGTCCCCCACCCCCATTGCTCACATCCACCGTCCATCTCTCGGATGGTTGCCCTGCCCAAGAGCCGGCGGGCCCCCCTGTTCCTGCAAGACACATCTTCCCTCATCCCCTTGTTCCTGCCCCTTCAGACCCAATGTCAGGGGAATCTTTCTCATTACTTGTCCAGGGCAGAAGGCCCATGCCGGGTCCCTCCTCCTGAGTGGCCATCACCTGACAGGTGACATATTGGTGTTTATGGTTTGGATTGCTAGTCAAGAGATGTTGGCCTTACAAGAACCTTGTGTCTGCTGGTTTGGTCCCCACGGTCCCTACCGGTCAGTACCCTTTTGGGGACATTGAAAACATTTGGGCCTGAAGGATGTGACCTAGAGGGCATGAGGGGGCTGCAGCAAGCAGCCCTGGGAACACACGTGCAGACACACACACATCCCTGTGTGTCTGTCTCATCACAGCCCAAATCCATCTTTGAACCCAGCTATGAACCTTCCCAAGGTGGAACCACATAGGCAGGGGTCTGGCTTCCCCTGCTCATTGTGTCTCATGGGTCTTCATGTGTGTTTCTGGTGTGGGACTGTCACAAGCAGAGTGGCTGTGAATGTTTCAGTGTGGTCATGACTTTCAACAACAAATCTTTCTTCTGCCGACCGGCCCCCTAGATCTCCCTCTATCTCCAGCTCCGTGCCACCCTCTCGCTTGGGATGGGGGAACTGGGGGGCTGAGACAGGTGTGGCCCATGCCCTTGCTGGCCTCGGGTGGCCTCCCTGCAGTGCCCAGCAGAGGCAGGCAGCCCAGGATCTTGGAGGCAAGAGGGGTGCAGACTCATTCTTGGCGTCCATCCTGGGGTATGTAGAAGAGAGCCCCCCAAACCAGCACCCAGTGCTTATCAGTCCCCATGCTGCCCTCCCCTGACCGAGAGGCCTCTTCTCTGCTCCCACTGCAACCAGCCCATCCCGGAGCCAGTCCCTGGGGTTTCCAGAGAGGAGCCTCAGGCAGGTGGGGATGGGGTAAGACCTGGGAGGGGCTCCCTCTGCTTACCCAGTCCTGAGTCTGTGGTCCCTGCTGAGCGCTGCCCTGGGCACTGTGCTGGCCCCAGGCCACCGGCGATCCCAGTGGGGTCTGCCTGTGCTCCTGGGGGAGCTGCGGCTCCGGCGTCTTCCCCTGAGGGGGCAGCTTCCTGCTGTTCATCTCTACCCTAGCAGGCTTAGTCTGCGCCTCTGGGGCTCTGGGGAAGGAGGACAGGTCGGGCAGGGCCCCGATGACCACCTGTATCCCCGCCAATACCTGACCCCCGGAGCGGGCAGGTGGGGCGGTGTCAGGCTTTGCCGGGGTC